CATTCTTCTTTCTCTACGATAAGAAAAGTGATCTGAGCCGATGAACACTTAGCCAAGTTTCTTAACCCTTAAACAACCTTTCTCCTGAACGCTATGAGTATTCTATTCTCCTCAATTCGAAAACCAAAACCTTCACAACTCACCGATCTGAAGAATCAGTAAGTCCGATGACAACTTCGCCGGTGAATCACTGCTCCTCCTCGTTGTCTTTTTTTTGTGTCACTCTCGAAGATCAAACCAGAACGGCTATTCTTTCCATCTCATTTTCACCGAGAAACCCTAAGATAGTGATGACGTCTCATTGACGAAACCTATCGTCAACGACTCATGTAGCTCGTACGCAGATACTCTGTCTTCAACCTTTCTCACTTTGATTCTGGAGATCAATTGCACTACCAAATTCTTCAGCTCCTTCTTTGGCAAACGATAACCTTACCTCTGAATATTCTTTTTGGTTACACTCGTAATCCTAGAAGCTCTAGATTTCTTCTTCTATTTCTGATTAATGAGATTTCCTTTTGAATATTGCAGGTGATCGATTGATTTCTCAGACTTTTCCGGGTTACTGCAGCACTCTGGTAAGCTTCTCTGAGTTATGAGTTACTTTGGAATGGTAGATTCTTAATCTCTTTCTGATTTTGATATCAAAATTCTTGATTGGATTTTCCTTCCACGTTCTGGTTGTTCTGGAGATCCTCTGTTACTCTGTGAAACTTGTTTCAACTTCAACATCCTGCTAAAGTGATCCACTTTCTTTTTAACCTGATTAAGACAATGCTCTTGATGTTATACTTATTTGGTGATCTTCTTTGTTTTTTCGGTTGTGGTACTCGTCTCCCTTCAGCTCTCCTTGGTAATTATCCTCCACCATAGCAGCTGTTTAAGATGTTCTCTCCGGTGATCTATTTTTGACCTAGATACTCGTCTCCCTTCAGCTTCTATTGCTGTTTAAGACGTTTTCTCAGGTCATTCCTTCACTTTAAATTTCCTTTTAAAGTATTATTCCTCATCCGATCTTCCAGAACTTTTGAGTTAATTTTCTTTTGTTTCAGCTGCTCCACCTTGAGCCTCTACCTCGCATCTATGCTCACATGTAACCTTCTTTAAACTCCACCTACTTGAGTTTCCCATTATCAATATAAACCTGAAACTTGCTTGTTTCTTTTTCTCTGTCTCTGTGAGCTTTGAGACAGCGTTTGGTAATGTGGTTACCTGGAGCGTCTTTCTTCTTAGGCGATTATGGAATCGCAGGGAACCTGAAACTCTTTTCCAGGTACTGTGTTTCTTTGTAACTCATCTTGATTATTATTGGTATGGATCTCAAATAGAGTTGCAGCTCCTTTAACTCTATCTTCGAAGATCCCATCTTCCAATATTATTGAAACTTTTCCCTCAGCTTCATCCTCAAGTTTCATATCCACGGTCTCCTCAACCTCCTTCCAAAACTTTTGATCCTTGCTTTCCTTAATTTCCTCATAGGTTTTAGGTTCTTCTTTCGTATCAGGATTTTCATGTGCAGCCAAAATCTGAGTTAAGATACCATCATTTTTATGCCTTACTTCATTTGCAAACAATAGGTCATCCCTTGAAGCTTCTGTCCGAGATTCTTCACTACTCGCCTTAGACTTAATTTCTTCTGTTTTTTTTCTGTCAAGAAAGAGTCTCCACTTTGAGCTGATGAGTCTTTTGTTTCAAAACCATATGGAGTAGGTCCCTGAATCAGATTTCTTGCAAAAGTCACCTTCTCTGACTTCGTCTTTATGATTCCTTTCTCCATTCGTGGCATGTTTTTCTCACTCTTAGTAATTGTGCCTTGTAGATAATAAACTCCATCGTAATATTTCCCTGATATTACCTTCTTTTTATCTTTGTAAAAGTGCACCATGAAATTGCTTCCTTTATACTTACAACCTGATATTTCTAACATCCCATAGGAAATTAAATTTCTACTCACCTCTGGTATGTGTCTAACACCCGTGAGTATCACTTCAGAGCCATCTGAACTCTGAATCTTTATTTTCGCAATTCCCTTGATGTCACATTGAGTGTTATTAGCCATTAACACTGAACCACCGTTGAGCTCCTTAAAATCAAACATAACCTCCTTGTTTGATGTACTATGATAAGAACATCCAGAATCCAAGATCCAATTTTGTTTAGTGTCTTGCACACTAGCTGTTAACACTAACGGCTGCTTCGGTTCTGTCGCTATGTTTGTAGATTCTCTATGTCTCCTTTCAGAACATTCTCTTTTCCAATGTCCTTCATCTCCACAAATAAAACAACCTGTTTTGTTTTTAACGTACCTTTGTCTTGATTTAGATCTGCCTCTGCCGTTAGACTTTCCTCTCCATTGATTTGATTTCCCATCATAATCCCTTTTCTATGATCTGCCCCTTGATTCCACATATAAATCCTATGCGTCCGACAATGGATTTATTCAGAAATCCCTTCTCTTTTAACTCACTTCTTTGGAGTATGCTGAATTAATCACATTGTTCCTTTTCCTTAATTGCTTTAACATATTCTTCAAGCGCATCAACATGATAAAGGAAATAGCTGATTGTTTCTTTTCTGTGTGCAGGACATTTTATCTGGGCAGGAATTGTAGAATTGGGCCAAGACAGAATTTGGCCAAAACAGAATTTGGTCTTTATCTCTACAATTTACCGTCTGTTCATCATTTTTAAATCATAAAAACTTATTAAAATCGTTTCACTTGTTTCAGGTACAATAACAGCCCTCACCCTCGCCCTATAAGCCCTTATCGGTGTACTGGAACCTCCGATCCTCTCTTGTGCAGTCTGGTTTCCAGCCTGTAACAGGAAGTAAACGCCCATAGGCAAAAGGAGTGTCACCAGCTGACGCAAGAGGAGCACCACCACCATTAAGCTTTGTCACCATTGCTGGACAAGCAAACATCAGAACAAAGGTTTGGGTAAACTCTTGAAGAGAGATCTTGACAAAGAGTGCTGAGATGTCTGGAGAGGAGCAAGGAGATAGGCAGCATCTGGAGGGTCTGGAGTTTCCGGTGGAGTGATGAGAGAGAAACCTTCAAACAAAGGAAACTTGTATGGTGACAGATCTGGAGGAGGTCTGAAACACAACGAAGGAGAAGCAGTCACCATCAGAGCCATGGAGGAGGAGGAGCAGAGCTTCTTCAAGAGGATGCTGGAGGAGCGACGGAGCTAGGACTGAAGAGATCCGTCAAAAACGGCACACCTTGGGGTGCGGATCTGAGAGAGTCTGGAAAGCTTACATGTTGTAAGTTTTAGTCTAGAAAGCTTATCGGATTCAGTTATGAACTTCTTAATATTTTTTTTAAAAAAATAGATTTTTGTTTGATAGTTGTGCGGTAGTACATGAATAGAAACTTCAACTAATTTCCGAGTATATATAAAAAGTAATATTTTGCCAATTAAAACATTTTATAGTATGGCAAAAGACAATATTCTTACTAATAGTGGTTGATGTTGGATAGGAATCCATACCTTGATTTATATTCATTAGCTAGATAATTACATCTGAATGTGTATAGTACTGTATAGTTAGATAATTCATTAGCTGGATATCCACATTGATTCGCATAAGTGTTACATAGTAGTATGGTACTTTATAGTGGGGTATATCATGGATAGAAACTCTAACTAATTTCCGTATATATCTAAAAAGTAATATTTTTCCTTTTAGAACATTAGAGTATCTTTATCCCTTATAAAAAGGGGTGCTTATGGTCTTGGCCCACTAAAAACATAAGCATCCGACATTTCTGAATGTTAAGTAAGGCCGCGTTTTCTTTGTTGTTTGTACTGTTCACATACCCCACCGACACATGGCAACCTGTGATTGATTCCTTTTTATTTATTTTTTAATCAGACAAAAAATAATAATAACAAACACTCCAAATGGGGCGTTGGGTTACTGATGTTCTTAGTGTGACAAAATATAAAACTGTAACTAATAGTGGGAGTCCGTTGAGGGTGAGAAATATTTAAGAAATTATAAAGTGGTAATTAGACGTTTAATAAAGGAATATTGTCTAAGTAGATTATTCAGGACTTAGAAATACCTAAGCATTAACGAATTATTTGGTTATTTATTATTTATCTTATATATACATTATTATATTTATTGAGATTTAGAAAATTATATATACATTATTATATTTATTGTGCTTTAGAAAATTATCTTAATGAAAAAAATAGATATATTAAAAAATTAGTTTGGAAAGCGAAAAGCTTATTATTTATTATATATAAATTGATGGTGAAGATAATATAACTGAAGTACTTATGATACATTTTAAAATTATTTGATTTAGTTGATTAAGACTAATTTAAATCGATTTAAATTGACTGGAACGACTTAAATCAGATTTTTACAAAAAAATCGTTTCAGTTATGAATGATTTACCATCTAGACAATTTTCTGGTCGTTGTCTAAACTGATTTTTTGAAAAATTCAAATCTATAACTCGATTTATATTTGATTAGTCGACAGAGGCGGTTCTGACCCAAAATAAAAGAAGCACATGCTTGCGGCCATATTTCAAATATGGATTCAACCGGTCACAAAATTTATGTAAAATGTCTTTGGCCCAGTGGCTTAAAGGTTGGATATATCCCAACACATCATTGGTTCGTTACCATCTCTATGCTTGGGAATTTTTTTCGGCTGTTTTTAGTGGGTGACTTGTAGCCTTATAAAAACAAAGACCGACTCTGTTAGTCGGATATTCTATATGAAAGTCTATAAGAGGATATTCCCACACCGGATCAATTACGGTAACATGGTATATAGATTCTCAACTCCATACATGCATGGGATGAGGGGACAAATCAATATTTCCAAATAATATTCCAACTCATAATACCACAAATGATCATAGCTGAAAACCATGAAATTAACAAAACAATGGACAAATTATATTTATAGAATCAACGGCTTATTTGCCATTATAACCAAAATAGGAAAATTAGATTTGTAGGAAGAGATAGAAAGACGAGAAAGTGATTTTAGATTAGTAATTTTTTTTTGGTGTTATTAGATCTTGCCTAAAATCGATCAGGCTATTTTATGAAGAAGAAAACAACCGGGTTCATTGTATAAGTAGCGAAACGTATAAAACCATTGCTCATTATTTCCAACTGAGAAAAATGATAATAATAACTCTTTCAAAAGTAACATGGACATTAATAAAACGGAATATCACAGCTTCCATCAATTGCTTTTCTTTGGATTCAACAACTCTTTAAACCACTTAGCAGATTTCTTTGGGTATCTCTTACATCCATCTTTGAAGTCCACGTAAACCAACCCGAACCGGACGGTGTATCCCATTGCCCATTCAAAGTTGTCCAACAACGACCACGCAAAAAATCCCTTAATATTGGCTCCGACCCTATGTTATCATTTAACAAAAGCATTTGCAACATGTTACGTAAATTTATATATTTTCATATCCATTTAATTAATATGGTAAAATTATTTCCTAACATAACATAAAAAGCACTTACGAGATTGCATCTTGAACCATTTCGAGATGTCGAGCGTAGTAATCGATTCTGTCGTCGTCTTTAAGGAATATTTTGTCCGTGCTGAATTCATCTCTCCCTACAATATATATCGCCAAGAAACTAGAACTCAGTGTCGAATATTCATAAATATCAATCAAAGAAAAGCTCATGGTCTTGTTGTGAATTACCGTTTTCGGTTATGTACATGACCGGGTCTTTGAACTTGTATTTTGCATAGAGGACAAGATCACGAATTCCCTTTGGATATATCAGAAGCCAATCTGATGCAGCCTATGGAATATAAAATATATATATGGGTTTAGTCTCTTAAACCAACCTACAAAACTGAAAGATTTTAAGAGATTGGTCTAGGCAAGTACCTTTGGACCAATGGGAACTCCTTCTCTTACGCCTGATAACATATTTTTTTGGACTCATAAATATACATTTTAATTTGTTTTTAAATGGCAAAAAGAACTTGGATGATGTGAAAACAGACCTGTAACACTGGCACAAGGATCAGAGAACATTGTAACTTGTTCGGTGGAGCAGGGGACATCCTTTGCGTAAGTGGAAGAGTAATAATTGATACCAATGAAATCATATGAGCCCTTAAGCATCTTAGATTGTTGTGCAGTGAAAGTAGGCAACCGACCGCCTTTTACGTTGTTGACCATGTCAATTGGGTATTTACCGGTCACGAGTGGCTCCATGAAGTAGTCAAATGTGAAGGCCATGGCTCGTGCCGCTGCTAACCTATCTTCCGCCGATTCTGTATAGGGCAAGTTCCAACCCGCGTTCAACGCGATACCAACTTGACCCTTTTGAGATGCCTGTTGAACAACATTCAAGACCAGGTTTGTCAATGATTCATCGTAATGATTGTTTTCAGCCTAATTAGATTGCTATAAGAACGACCAGTTTTAGTAACTTAAGCAAGAGAGTAGAATCTTGTATTTTACTCACCTTGTATTTTTCTCTGTAGACTTGGACAGCGGCCCCGTGAGCAAGAATGAGGTTATGACCAACGATATAAGGCTCTGTGGCTCCATCTCCGGCGGTGCAGTTGGGGTTTGTGAATTTGGAGCATCTTCCAGGAGCCATTACACCTGCAACATACCCTTGTTGCACCACTGTTAATGGCTCGTTCAGTGTCATCCAGTGTTTCACTCGATCTCCAAAATTCTTAAAGCAAATATCCGCATAATCACGGAAATCGTTTCTGTTTCATCCAACAACAAAAAAAAACCCAATAAAATCAGTGAATTTCTTATTGTCATGTTAATTGTAAATTGTAATGGCTAGTTGAACTAGTCATTGGATGTTAGTACTAATGCTAAATAAAATTGAAGGTTTGAATTGAAGGACTAAGGACTTACACAATCTCTGCGCCACGAAATCCACCGTAAGCATCTTCAAGACCTTGTGGTGTGTCCCAATGAAACATGGTGGCAAAAGGCTTAATTCCTATAGACATTAAGATAACATTTACATTAATTACTGCTTGTATTGCGTTTTTGACTACAAAGCATATCTTATATTTGAAGGGTAGAAGATATGTTATTAGTCGTTATCTCACTAAGACTTTTTTTGAAGTCGAAAGATTCCACATGAAGTGTTATGACAGTGGCCAACATGTAATGTTTCCAAATTCGTACATGAAATCATTCGGAGGCAAAAAATAAAGGAAAATCATTTGGAGGCAGCCAAAATTGGTTGTCGGGTTGGCACGCATGAAATTAATTTTTGAACTTTGAAAATATAAATTTAAGGAAGATGCATCATTTTAAAAAGCCATTACAAGAAAATGTAAGTATATACAGTGGCGGACCCACTCTTTGACTTATGGTGTCAGTTGACACCACAAATAACAACAAAAATTTAATTTGTAGCCTATATTTCACGATACTCTGTGGTGTAGTGGTTAGATAGTTTAGGGATGAACCCACAAAAGTGGGGTTCGAGGCTCTACAACTGCACCTTGAAGCTTTTTTGACCCCACATATTTTTGTTTCTGGGNCCCACTCTTTGACTTATGGTGTCAGTTGACACCACAAATAACAACAAAAATTTAATTTGTAGCCTATATTTCACGATACTCTGTGGTGTAGTGGTTAGATAGTTTAGGGATGAACCCACAAAAGTGGGGTTCGAGGCTCTACAACTGCACCTTGAAGCTTTTTTGACCCCACATATTTTTGTTTCTGGGTTCGCCACTGAGTATATATGTATAAGCATAATACTGTGAAATAATTTTGTAATCAAATATCTCTAATTCAACATATAAATAAGTCTAAGTTTGAAAAAGATATTTTTAATCATATTTAAACTAAAGTAATGTGAAACAGAGAACGTTACTTTAGCCAGTCTGTCAAATTGTATGTTGTCTTTTACCTTTGGACAGAAGCTCATTGATCAGGTTGTTGTAATAGTCAATACCAGCTTGGTTTATTCCTCCTTTTAGATCTCCACCTAAGAAAGAAACAACACGTCAACATTATTGACACTTAAATAAATCAAATCCCCCTTCAAAGAGAAGAAGAAGAAGAACTTACGAGGCAATATTCTCGACCAAGAGATTGAAAATCTGTAAGCATTGAAGCCAATTTGATGCAATAAAGCCACATCTTCCTGTAATTCAATGTTTTAATAAATGATATAATCAAAGACTGGCTGGTTTTGAGGCTAATGAAAAATAAGAACAAACATTTTAACTTTACATATTTAATAACAAAAGATAATTACCTTGTAAAGATGGTAAGAGTTATCTGCAACAGACCCATTGCTACCATCCTTTATCTTCTCTGGAAAATTAGAATAAATAAATAAAAACATTATTTCAGTTTTTCGACAATACTCCCACTAAAGAATCAAAACAGAGTAGTTACCCTTTTTCGTTTTTTTTTTTCCAGAGAAATAATTCACATTTTGGTGATCAATCAATCTTTTAACAAGAACAAATTCACACATGTATAAACTTACTTCACAGATTTTAAATCTAAACTATTCTGTAGATCCTAAGAGCTGTGAGATTTAGATTTAAAATAAAACCTGGGTATTTTTCAGAGAAGGTATCCCAGATACTTGGTCCTCTACCATCTTCATGAGCACCTCCTTCAACCTGAGAAATGTCAAACAAACCCATAAACCAGCATTCAAGATATGAACATAGTAATTAGAAGAAACTAACAAAGAAATACCTGGTAAGCAGATGTTGCAGACCCAAAAATGAAATCTTCTGGAAAATCACTTCTTCTTAGCTTAGGTATTGAAGAGTTGTTCTCCGCTAGAACATTGGAGACCAAGACAATAAGCACTACTACTAGTAAAGAAGTATATTTTCCTCTCATTCTTAATTTTGTTGATGTTTCTTTTCTTCTGAGAAAATGAAGTGGGTGGGGTTTATATAAGGAAGAAAATTATGTGTTTGCACTGATTATGTGATTCTTTTATAAATAAAGAAATTTGAGAAATATAATCTGATAGGGAGAGAGAGAGAGTGTGTGACAAATTTTTTAATTGTTTTCTTTAGTAAATAAAAATTTCAACTAATCCTATCTAGTTATCTTTCAAATAGGGGAAACTAGCAAAACATTAGTTGAGAAAACGATCTTTATTAGCATAGTAGTTTTTTTAAAACCGGCATTGATTTTCTAAAATTTTATCTAAAGCTGAGTCATTTATAAAAAAAAGATTATATAAAGCAATGCATCACATTGCACGTCTTTCAGACAATTCCGGGTTGTGCTAATTTCTGTCAGGAACGTGAAAACGTGTTAGAGTTGATGAGACGTCAATATTTCGTCTTCTTGTTGCGAAAACGTCTTGTGAAGAAAATAATAGACTATAAACAAGCGTTTTTGTAACGGCTATTTATTTCAAATCTTGGTAAGATGAGATATTATATTCTTTGCATTATGTAAAGGGTTTTATTCACAATCACAGGTTGGTGTCGTCTGGAACGCGTTGGGGAGAGACTTCTCGGTCAAAATAATACTATACAACCTAACACCATATACCTGATTAATAATTAAGACTCTCTGATTTCCATGTGACAAAGCAAGTCAATGTTTTGGTTTAGTGGAATTTTTTTGAATTTTTAATGGTGAAATATGTAGTTTCTTGCGACTCTCTAATGAAGTTATCTAATTTAGTGATATGAAAGTAAATGATTTAATCTGAAAATTTATATAGATATTCTTTTTTTTTTTAATTAAATTTTACTAACACAGCTCAAAACAAATGGAATAACGGTTTCCATTACAAACCAAGTCAAACAAAATTATCCGATTTAAATGAATCTTAACTAGTGTCGCTCAATCCAATACCCCAACACTTTCCACTAGATCGAATACATAAACATTGAACATTGATTACTGTTCTCAACCATTTATATTTCTTCCTTTCAAAGAAACTTAACACTCTTAGAAAAATACAAATAATTGAAAGTCTTATAGACCACTAGGGGAAACCTTACTTTGGTCTATGATTTGTTTACATGGTTGTTTGTTTATTTGTTTATGTTTAGGATTATAATATGGTTATGTAGTGTTTTGTTTATTTTATATCGTTGTTTGTTAGATTTTGTGTGCCTATGTAACATTTTTTTATGTAGGAGGGTGGTGCATTTTTTTTTTGAATTTTGTTTATAACTATTAACATTTAACTGACAACTTTAAATTTTTATTTTTTGAGAAATTAAAATAGTGTTTGTAATTTTATCCCGAAATTAGAGAAAGTATACACCAACTTCGGATTCAACCTATTGATCATATAATAAAAATAAATTATTATTTGTTTGTAGTAGCAGTATGAATCACACTGGTTCGAAGTAACATTCAGGTTGTTTGTCTGTTTGGTTGTCATTGTTTATTTGTTTGTGAATAATTATATACCTCTGACATGGTATATACTTATTGATGTTCATTGGTTAATTAGAAGATATACAAAAAAATTCTCAATTTTCATAATTTTCTAGTTTCTTGTACTTAATTTAAATAATCTACTAAAATTTAATTTTCTACTGAATGTGTAGTAAGGGTTATGGAAATACTCATGTTACATCATTACACCATTCTTGCATTCTTGATTTAAAATATTTTAGTCTTGTATTGTTTTTTATTTGTTATCAGACAAAATTCTATAATCTTGTAAGGATAATCTTTTTTTTTTGTAAGGATAATCTTATAGCTGGACTTTTGAGAAGAAATTCTAATCATGTATAGTAACTGTCCAGACGTCATATTATGCAACGTCTGGGTAATTTAAAGCAAATGCGGTACAAAATTTCTAATCATACTATAAGATGATTATGCAACGGTAGAAAATTTAGAGCAAAATTCTAATTCCCAAAGAATACTAATCCAGAAGTCATATTATGCAATGGTAGAATGTGTATCATATTTAGAAATCTTCATCATCTTCCTTAGCCATGTATTTAGCAAGAGTTCCTCCTCTTGCTGTTTCATCTCTCTCCTCTTCTCCTCACTCTCTTTCTTCATGCGTGTTTGGCGGGAACCTCGACACTCTTACCGTTTCGTTGTGCACGTTCAAGCAGAAGGCAATCATCGAGTTAACACACATTCTGCGGCTCGTTAGTGGAGTAGATATCTCTTGTCTCCTTTGAGACCATAAAACCGTTCTAGTCATGTTACGTCGATTTTTCCGTCTCTTATGGCTTAGCCACTATGCTTTCTGCATCTACCACCGGGTGTGCAGAGTTTAGCCTTAGCTTCTGGGAGACGTCTGTAGAGTGATTCTTGAGTAGGAAATGCCGATGTTGTATAGTCATGTTTTGAGTATGTCGAAACCTGCCTATGTGGTTGTGAGTCCTGTCTTCATAAAATTTATTTGCAACCTCTTTTAGACGTTTCCCAAGAGCTCCAAGTCACCAATCCTCACTGCCTGACAAAATTCAACACTTTTTAGTATGAGATCCTTATATTAGAGTCGTTATTATATTATGCAATCTCCATCAAACTTAATGGTACCATTACATGTACATGGTGATCACCTATAAGGTTAACTAAATTAATTAGTGCGTCTTCACTTGGTTCAAAATCTATTGATTTCAAGTTCAGAGATATGATGATTAAGTGCCTGCAATAGTCATCAGTGATATATTCAAAAACAAAACAAAAAGTCTTCACAGAGAAACTTACATCACTGAAATCTGAAATCAAATTTGAGAGTACAGAATGCAATTTAGATATATAAGTTCCTGGAGTTTCAAACCTCATGGCGTTGCATTGGAACTGGACGTTTAATGCTTTTGCTTTCGTGAGAAGATTTATTGGTCTCAAGCTATTGAGTATCTGGTAATTCTTTCCATGGTAATAAATGAAAGCAAATTCTTTAGTAACCAAGCTGTCTCCTCAACAAATGCAAGACGTCTTTTTAGATATAAGTTTTACCAGTTCTTTGTGTTTCCAATGCAGATGCATATTCTCGATGACCCCGTCGGAAACACCACAGATACCTGTAACGAAAAAGTAATTTCAAATACAATGTAAATATAAGAACATAATGAGCGAGTGAAGCCTAGCAGAACATACATACAAAGGCAGCATTTGAATGGAATAAAAAAGTTGACTGTGGAGGTTAGCATAAGTGAGGGTTCATAGAAACAATAATATAGAAAGCTACAATAACCAAGTGGTATGAAATAATAACTATCAAAAGATAAACATGTTGGTTAGAATGTGCCTCAAATCTTGGTGCTTTTGATCTCAACTTATTTGCTTGGTCATAAAGGTTCTAGAGTAGATAGTTGCGAAGAAAGAGACTAAGAGGTGTCTCCTGCATCCACAATGAAAACAGTTAGTCATTGAATTACTCACCCACGAATCTCAAAAAGATCACCAGTCATCTCATGACTCAAAGAATATTAAAAACACAACCTTGAAGAGTTCCCAGAAATTGAGAACAAACGATCTCGGATTCATAGACAAAAATATGACTTACATTCACATTCACCATGAGCATATCAGCCACATGAACTCCCCAACGCGCCTAACCTTCCTCACTTTCCCAGAAACGAAACAGCCTCACCTCGACAATGGAGGAGCACCGGCCTGGACTTCAAATCGGAAAGAAACACTCTAGAATTATGATAGTCAGTAGTAAGATATGATGATTTTCAGAGTACGAAGCATACCTATTTACACTTGTAGATAGCCGATTCTCAGTAGCTTACATCATATTGATGTCGAGATCATGGGGGAAGAGTTATTAAGACGATAAAGGGAACAGATCCGTGATTGGTGCAGCAAAGAGGAAACAAACCGATATGCAAAGCTACCCCGATCTGTCGTCGTGTTGAGAGCAGATTCTGTCAAGAGCCCTAAGAGATTGACGTCGGCGTATTAGAGGTGGGTTTCAGATTAAACGGACTGTCCAATCAAATTTAGTCTAAGACCTGGATCAGTGAATAAGCCCAACAGCACTAAGAGAGGTCTTAAGAAAACGCTGCGTACAGAAAGGTCAGGACACGTGTCCAATTCTCTTAATCTTATTTTATGACATCACTTGATGATGTGGGGGAAGGAGAAGAGAGTTGAGCTCTTCTTTATATATAAAGATATACAAATTTATTAGTAGTATAAATTTATATGCAAACAAAAAGAATTATGTCAAGCTGTATAAATGAAAGATTATTAGTTAATCAAATTTATTCTCTCCTTTGTTTTATCAAAACTATGGGTTCTTTGATGATTTTTTTTTTAACACAACACATGGGGGTTCTTTTTGATGATTAGTTTTCAAATAATTGAAGTTCTAAAATAAGATTGCTTAAATTAAGGAAAACATAGCTATAGCATGCGGGGCCAATAAGCCTAACGGCCTCTATAAGATTTAAGGCCGAAACGTTTTCTTGGGGGAGTTTTTATAGTGACTAAATCTTGAATTTTGAACTTGAAACCAAACACTTCAAGAATTGTGATTAGATTATTTAACCCAAAACTTTTATATCCTAAGTTTCATAGGACTTGCAAGTACACAAGAATGTACATAAACATATATACATACATTCAGCCATATTCAGACAACTCTAAGGATGAAAAAAAGACAGGGTTAACATTAACATTTTTAATGTTTCAAGAATCTTTCGTTTACCTTAGCCTCCTTCTAGACCTGGTCTGAGGTCCACTATTTACATCTTCTGTTCTTCTCGTAGACGATGAGGCAGATGTAGCAACTTGAGTAGGGTTAAGAGTTTGGCTTCTCGTGGCAGTAGAGGAGCCCGGAACAACAAAATCTCTAACTGATGATGAACCTGCCGTCTCTGAGGAGGCATTGTTACTTCGGTTTCTCTGAAGAGAAGAACTAATCTCAGCAATACGAGAAGACCTACGACGATTTCTTCTCAAACTAGTTGTGTCAATAAAACTATCAACATCATCAAAAGGTGGTATCTCCGAGGTATGAACTACAAGACTTGGGAAAGAAGCAAAAGAAGGCAATAACCTCAAAGGTGGATGAAGATGTTGTTGCTCACCTCCTCCACTGGTTACTATAGAATCAATAGCCCTTCTAATATGCTCCATTGTTTCGGGAACAAAAGGTACTCCTCGGTTTATAATCTTTTGACGAAAGCTTTCTACTCTTTTAGCATGAGGCCTTGGAGGTAGAAGAACACCACAACCCTCAAGCTTTGTTTTACTATTATCATCACCATTACCGTATATGGGAATCACCTCCGCGTCAGTCACTTCTCCATCGCAAACAGGACATTCTTTAATGTTTAAGTAAACAAGAGGCAACTGATGGAAACATCCCCAGCAGAACAAGTGACCACAACAAGTCAAAACCGGATCTTGAGCTTTAACTAAACATATGTTACAGTCAAAGTAACCACCAGGAACAGTAGAGCTTGTTCTCTCCGTGTTCAATGCCTTTGCTATCAAGTAAGTCTTGTTCTCCCCGTTTTTGACAAGTCTCTCTCTAGAACGCTCGTGTATAACTCCTGCTGTGGAGTTTCTATGCTCGTTAGACGGCACCAAGGCCAAGGCCCGTGCTGTTGTTTCTCGTTGTCTGATTCTTGAACTATTGCTTCGAGCTGTCTTATGCGTTGTTCGATCTGGGAGTGAGTAGTCTCGAGCTCGTTTAACCATGGAGAAATCTCGGAACCAGAAGATGGGTTTTGGTTCAAATCAAGATCCATTGTCTCTACTTCGGGACTAGTCGAAATGAGAGAGATCAAAGACGCAAACTTTACCTAAACCCAAAACAGAGTAAAGTTTGCTCTCTTTTTTTTTTGCACAGATCAACAAAACAGAGCAAAGTTCATGACTTTCCGATCTATAGATGATATAGAGATCCCACAGATTCTTCCAAAATCAAATCGATTCCGAAACTAGTCAACGCATGCATCTGTAACAGAACCAACACAATTAAATTTATTAACATCGCTCGTTAACAATGATTGAGCGAACGATCGAAGAAAACAGAGAAGTATATGAAGTTTGATTGAAGAAGAGGAGACCTTAGAGAGAGAGAGAGAGCGAGAGATCAAAACAAGCGGAGGACGAAGTTGGTTTCAAGGGCGGTGGCAATGATCGGTAGTGGCGAAAGAGACCGATGAATCAATGTCTTGTAACATAACTGTCTTAATACTTTTTTACTTCTAAGATTTGCGGTTGCGTTTTAGTCAATATTTTAAGTTTATAACTAGATTTTGATTGGCGATTTTCAAACGCAAAATAAGAAATTTATATAATTGTATTTTATTTTAATTTAAAGAATATTTTGGTATAAAATTAATTCACCAAAATTTGTGGTGATGATTGTTTTTCATTAGTTTTTGTATTTATTTTTAAATTTTATTTTTGATTTTGATTTTTAGTTTTTTTTGTCATCAAACAAAACACACTCATGTAGAGATTTTGGTTTTTAGTTTTTAAGTTTCTTTTATTTTTATTTAGCTTTTGGTTTGGATTTTTATTTTTTAGACCGTTGAGTAAGTTTGAACTGATATTACCAATAAACAAATCTCAAATAATCGAACATCTAATTTAAAATTGAAAAGATCACAATTTTTTTTTAAAAAATTTTGCAATTGTTTGATTGTAAATAAACAAAAAATAAGATAACCTGCGTTTTCAGCTTTTGGTTTTCGATTTTAGTTTTTAGATTTGGTTTTTTGGTTTTGTTTTACATTTTTTTAATAAGAAAGTTATTTAAGAAAAAATAAAATTGTGAAAACAATAAAACAAGAAAATACTAAAAAACCAGATAAATACCCAAAAATATTCAAATATCCCAAAAATCTGAAATTTTAATGAAATCTAACCTGAAGAACCAAAAATAACTAAAACTTTATCCGAATACCTACATTTTTAAAATGTTGATATTTTACCTGAAACCCAAAACAATAACCAAATAACTCAAACAAGAAACCTAAAAAGAAAAATATGTAATACCAACAACCTATTCAAAACAACTAAATGTACAATTCAAGTACTTTAGAGATACAGATCCGGTTTCAGGTAGACCCAGACTCAAACAGAGACCCGTGGTTCCAAAAATATACCCAATAGGTAATTTTTTTCTAGAACCAAACCCAAATTGAACCTATATTTTGGAGTGGTTCGGTTTTTGTGATCCCGGTAAAATGTTCATGCCTATAAAAAAACTACTTAAGAATATACATACAAATTGTAAATAAACAAATTCAAATTTGAAACATAATGTATATCTTTATTTATAATTTAAAAAACCCACGCTTTTGAAGCGCATAATTTTTATGGTTAAAATTGTATATAATTGGGTTTTGTCTTTATTTAAAATATGTTTTGGTATAAAATCAGTAATCCAAAATGTGTAGTGATGATTAGTTTTTAGTTTCAGTTTTTATTTTTAAATTTTGGGTTTTAGTTTTTAAGTTTCTATTTTTGATTTTCAGCTTTTGGTTTGAATTTTTAGTTTTTAGATCCGCTGAGTTAGTTTAAACTGATACTACCAACAAAAAAATCCCAAAATAATCGAACATCTAATATAAAACTGAAAAGATGACAATTTTTTAAAAAACAATTGCAATAATTTATTTTGTAAATAAAAAAGCAAAAATATAACCTGCATTTTCAGCTTTGGTTTTGGATTTGAGTTTTCAGATTTGGTTTTTGGTTTTCCTTTACATTTATTTATTTTTAAATCAGTAAATTATTTAGGAAAAATAAAACAATAAATTATTTAAAAGTTACCATTGAAATTTATCAAAACAGAATGATTGTTATTTAAAATAAAAAATACATTAACATGTTTTAAAATACATGATTTAAATAAGTGATTAATAAGAGATAATTTTTTTGTTAAAAATATTAAATACCTTTGTGCTGAAAATAGTAATTGATTTTTTTATCCATTAAGGTGAAAATTTTATTCAATGTTTTTTTGGAGTTTTCCCTTAATACTAAACCCAAAACCAAACCATTTAATTTGTCTTAAAAACAAAAGTAAGCCCACGATTTTATCATATAAATAACCGTCGGTTTAGTTTAAGTAATGCGGTTCAATCAAATATATGGCTTGTATTATTTGGAACACTCTAGAAAATGTCCAAATTTAAATGACAACTTGTATCAGTAGATAAAAAGAAAGACTCTATTTTAATAGAGTAGATGTCAGAAAAAAAATAAAAAGGGATTTTGCTCATCTATTTATTTTCTTGGCATTTATCCTGATAAGAAGTGAAAAAAAACGCATTATGAAATTATGTAGTTTTTTAAGAAAAGACACAAATTTCAATAGTTTAATAATAATCATTATCTAAAAACAGTTTATATTTTGTTATAAAATCTTTATTAACCTTAATTAGTAATTAAATTAGCTAATATATAATTAGCCATAAATTAAAAAAGAGCGGTTAAAATCTTGATTACCTTAATAAATAATTAGATTTAATATATAATTAACCATATAGTAAAAATGAATTTCAATAATTTAATAAAATAATCTCAAAATAGTTTATATTTTGTTATAAAATCTTTGTTAACTTTAATGAATAAATTTAAATTAGTTAAAATATAATTAACTATAAATTTAAAAAAAAATCAGTGGTTTAATAATTATTATTATATAAATATCGTTTATATTGTGTTATTCAATAATAATAATTTTATATCATGATTTTTTTGAAAAGATATATGTGTACTCATACATTTTAGGGGTTTTTGCCAAAACTAACCTACAACTTAGTTTTAACCCCAATACTAGATCCAAACTTTAATCAAATGCAAATCTAACCCAAAAGGGGTATGAAATTACAGTATAGTCCTTTGTGACCAAACAAAAAAACAGAAGACATTTTTACGAATTTAGCCCCTGTAAGTTGTCTGAGTCAGATTGAGCTAGTTTTCAGTCGTCTGGACGACTGAAATATTAGTTGTCTGGACGACTGAATCTTAAAAATAATTTATAAATTTTGTAAAAAATATTTTGATGAGTGAAAAATTAAAAACTTGTAATTATAAACATTTTGATATAAATTAAGAAATGATAAAATTGATTTATTTTCAGCATAGATGAGTGGAAGTAGTGAATCATGATATTCTTTGGTCTAAGGGTTTGGAAAACATATGTTGTAGCATTGTATGTAATCTTATGGTTAGATTTTGAAAAGCTGAAATGTTTTTTGCAAAAATTTAATTTGGCCTCTATGTGTTTATTTATGTGTATACTAAACACTTTTCAAGTTTAATTTAAGTTTTCGAAATGTTTAATTAGAGAATGAAGTTTAGGGGTTATGTTTAGGGTTTCGACGACTGAAATTTCAGTCGTCTGTTTTAAATTATTTTCCAGACGACTGAAAGTTCAGTCGTCGAAACCAGACGACTGAAATTCGTCATATTGTACCGAACCGACTGAAATTTCAGTCGTCGTCTTAAAATAATTTAGAACAGACGGCTGAAATGTTTTTTGCAAAAATTTAATTTGACCTCTATGTGTTTATTTCTGTGTATAGTAAACACTTTTCAAGTTTAATTTAATTTTTCGAAGTGTTTAATTAGGGAATGAATTTTAGGGGTTATGTTTAGGGTTTCGGCGACTGAAATTTCAGTCGTCTGCTTTAAATTATTTACCAGACGACTGAAATTGCAGTCGTCGTAGTATTGCCGCCTAAAATTTAAGAAATATTCTACTTTCCCGCTAAAATTATTAAAGTCTCATGGGCGACTGAAATGTTAGTTGTCTGGACGACTGAAATGTTAGTTGTCTGGACGACTGAAATTTCAGTCGTCTGTTTTAAATTATTTACCAGACGACTGAAATTTCAGTCGTCTTAATATTCCCGCCTAAAATTTAAGAAATATTTTAGTTTCCCGCTAAAATTATTAAAGTTTCGTGGACGACTGAAATTTCAGTCGTCTGAAATCGAAAACATTTAACCTAATTGATTTTTTTTCTCCCTATATAAAGAAAAATTTACACATTCTCACTCTTCCTCTCAAATGTATGCAACAAAAATGTAATGTTCATTTTTCTAGAACTCTCAAACCTCTCTATAATCTCTTTGAACTTATAAACACCAAACTTTATATCAATTTATTGTTTTTGTCTCATGTTTTTCTCACTATTTTTTCTTGTTTTTTGCAGGTTTTTCATCACATGGTTCTCATATTCCACTCATTTAAATGTATATTTATCTAATCTTTCACTTATTTTTTATGTTTTCTTCATTTGGTAATTTTTTGACTTGAAAACACCAAAATTTATATGAATTTTTCAGTTTTGTCTCATGTTTTTCTCACTAATCTATCTTTTTCTTGCAAGTTTTTAATCATATGGTTATCATCTTCATTTTGATATGTATGTTGTGTGTTCTATAAAAGTATATATATATATTATATATATATATATATATATATATATATATCTAATCTTCCACTCATTTTCTGTGTGTTTTAAGCCATTTGAATGTTTTCTGATATGCAGATTTTTCAGATCTGAACTTGATATGCAGGTTTTTCAGATCTTGAAGACTTCTGGGACGACTTACATGTTATTTGTCTAAAGTATAATGTTCTGGACGACTTACTTCTAGGTCGTCTGGACGACTTACTTGTTAGTCGTCTGGACGACTTACTTGTTAGTCGTCTGGACGACTTACTTGTTAGTCGTTAGGATGACTTACTTGTTAGTCGTCTGGACGACTTACTTGTTAGTCGTCTGGACGACTTACTTGTTAGTCGTCTGGACGACTTACTTGTTAGTCGTCTGGAAGTTGTCTGAACTTCCTAGAAGTCGTCCGGACTTCCTGTAAGTCGTCTGGACTTCCTGTAAGTCGTCTGAAAGTTGTCTGGACTTCCTGAAAGTTTTCTGAAGCTGTCTTGTTTCATATCAAGTGGAGTCCAAACTTATCTTTGTAGAGGAATGATCTATTATAGTTTAGTTTGTGGTATGTTTTGTGATTTGCATGTGTACTCTTTTAATTGTGATTTTTTGTAAAATCAGTAATATTGGTTCCCAAGATGTAATATATGTGATAATAATGTGTTTTCACATTTACAAATCAGTGAAATAATAGACTTCAACATCAAAATCTTCTTCCAACAAATCATCATTGGTGTTAAAGCATATTACATGTTTTACAAGTTTGTGTTGAAAAACTTAGTCAAATTTAGTAATGTATGACTTGTGTTTCGGATAATGTAGTGTAATGCATGACTTGTCTTTTCAAATTTTTATTTAACCCGAGAGACGACTAACCATAAGGTCGTCTGGACGACTGAAATTAAGGTCGTCTGGACGAATGAAATGAAGGTCGTCTAAAGAGAAGTACATAATACATAAATAACATCCTCTCTCCTTTGAAACAAGATCAGCATGTGACGAACCTTCACTCAAAAATAACATTCTCACTCCTTTGAAACAAGATCAGCATGTGTCAAACCTTCACTCAAAATAACATCCTCGCTCATTTGAAACGATCAACCACAAAAATCCAACAACCATCTTCCAACAACCATTCTCCATACACTGCACGTAACTGATGCGTCATCTGAAATAGTAAAAATAAAACACATTAGCAAACATAGAACAAAGAAAATATCAATCGACTGAAATCTAAGTCATCCAGACGACTAAACATTCAGTCGTCTGGTCAACGCAGAGGTTATTTTTGCAATTGACTTTGAAATCTGTTAATTGGGACGACTGAAATATCAGTTGTCTGGATTTGCTTGATAAAAAAAAAATCTCCAAAAAACACAGACGACTGAAATTTCAGTCGTCGTAGGTTAGTTTTGTATTTGACTAGAAAATTTCAGAAGTTTGACTTTTCAGGACGACTTACATTTCAGTCGTCTGAGAAAAAAATGAAATATCAATATTTTATTGAAATTCGACGACTTACATTTCAGTCATCGTAGGTTAGTTTTGCAATTGCGAAAAAAACTTCAATATTTAATCATATTCAGACGACTGAAAGTTCAGTCGTCTGCTGGACGACTGAACTTTCAGTCGTCTAGGATTTACAAGGTTTGACCAGAATCTCGGAATAAAATCCTGGACGACTGAATTTTAAGTCGTCTTCCGGACGACTGAATTATAAGTCGTCTTGAGAGTTGAAGTTTTTTTTCACAATTGCAAAACTAACCTATTACTACCGAAATCTAAGTCGTGAGTTCCAATAAAATATTGATATTTCAATTTTTTTGCAGACGACTGAAATTTCAGTCGTCCAAAAAAGTCAAAATTCTGAAGTTTTCTTGTCAAATGCAAAACTAACCTACGACGACTGAAATTTCAGTCGTTCAGATTCTGAGGATTTTTTTTTATCAAACTAATTCAGACGACTAAACTTTCAGTTGTCTCTGGAAACAAATTGCAAAGTCAATTGCAAAAATAACCTTTGCGTTGACCGGACGAATGCAGACGACTGAAATTTCAGTCGTCTGGACGAACAGGTCTGGAAAAAAAACTCGATTTCATACCTTAAATTGGTGAGACCACTTTCTTTGACTATATTAACCCTAGAAAATGTAGAATCAAGCACTCAGGATCTCAAACGAAGGTAATCCACCCTGAATCTTTAATTTCTTTGACTATATGAACCCTAAAAAATGTAGAATCAAAATCTTGGGTTTTTTTAGCTCATTGTGGAGAGAAAGTGAGAGATATGTGTTGTAATGTGTTGTTTAGTTCATGAGAATAGAGAAAGAAGAAGAGTAAATGGAATTTGGAGGCATTAAGAGCTTCAAAATTGGTTGTTCATGGTTGTTGGAGTATTGATGACAATGGTAATCTTGTAATTACTTGAAGATGGTGAGGGTGAGAGAGTAAATATGTCATTTTTGAAAAAAAAAAACAAATTGATGGCATTTTCGTGAATTATATGAACTTGTGGGGTGAATTGGACAAAATAAAGTTCCAAAAAAAAGAGCAGGTTAGTTTTGTGGTTGACTTCAAGTTTCAGGTCAATTCTGCAAAAAGCCCTACATTTTATATATAATTTTATGTATACATGAGTATTTTCAAATTTGTTTTATGTAATATAAAGTATTTATGTTTTGAAGAAAATTTTTTTATATAAAAAGTATTTTTATTTAATTTATTATTAAATATTTTCAATGTATGAAAAATAATATTTTTCCTAATTGAATTATAATATATCCTAATTGAATTATAATATATCGATGTATAAATAAAATTATTAAATCCATATATGCATGTAAAACTTTTAGTGAGTAGTAATAAACGCTAACGCAATTAAAACCAATTCAAACTCTTATTAGGGCATCTGCAACTCCACTCTATTTTCCACTCTAAAATAGAGTTTAGAGTAAAAGAGCTCTAATGGTACTTTATTTAATATATTATAATAGAGTGAAAAATAGATTTACTCTATATATAGAGTAAGTTGTTTTGTTTTGTTTTGTTCTTAACTATATTTTTCACTCTAATAGAGTACTTTTGGAAAAATAATATTTCAAATCTATTACTCTACTTTGAAGGAAAAAATAGAAGGAAAAAATAGAATGGACTGCTGGAGATGGTCTTATAATTTAGTACATATCATCAATTTTTATATCTTTGATTATATATATATTTTTGCCGACTAAGTTTTATTTATTAAACATTATGAAAGTTCAACTGTTGTCCACATTTCCTTGGAGAATCTAAATCTTTGATCAATTATCTGTAATTTTAAGTCAATAGTTCCAATATTTGCTTCTTTATCTGTTTCAGTGAAGTAATTAAAAGAATGATGTAAAATGAGAAAAATAAAAGATTATACATTTACAAAACATTGTAATAACTGACAAAAAAACTTCATTGAGTTCGTATAAAGAATATTGTCCTAAGACTTTCACTGCTTTAGCATTATCTAGTAGTAAACTATATATCATTCACTATTAGTAGTTAGCACATGGGGCTGATGTACTGAGAAACATGTCTTCAATCGACAATATGGATAATGCTAGCAGGAAAAGATTAAACAATTTTTTTGGGTTAAAAGATCAAATACACTACCATTTTTGGCTTTAAGTGTTCAAATACATACTATAAGTCCCTTAAACATAGTAATCAGATAGAACATTGAGTAAGTAATTGTAATAAACACAAAATGACAAAATAAAATCCAAAGATAATCTGCATACTCATAATCTTTATAAGAAACCAAGTCCTGAGAACAACGTTGAAAGCAAGGAAGGATCGAATCCAGCAAACACTGAAGGGTCAACAGATGGGAAAACCGACGGGTCAAACCCTAGATAACCGGAAGATAAAGAAGAATTGGATCCACCTCCCAGTCTAAATGGTTGGTCAACAGATGATAAAACCGACGGGTCAAACCCTAGATAACCGGAAGATAAAGATGAACCGAATCCACCTCCCAGTCCAAATGGCTGGTTAACAGCTGAGAAAACTGACGGGTCAAATCCTGGATAACCGGAAGATGAAGAAGAACCGAATCCACCTCCTAGTCCAAATGGTTGGTTAACAGCTGAGAAAGGCGACGGGTCAAATCCTAGATAACCGGAAGATGAAGAAGAACCGAATCCACCTCCCAGTCCAAATGGTTGGTTAACAGCTGGGTCAAACCCTAGATAACCGGAAGATGAAGAAGAACCGAATTCACCTCCCAGTCCAGATGGTCCGAGCAAATCAAGAAGCTGAGAAACTTGGCTTGGACTTTGGGGCGTATTGGTTACAAGGTTATTAATCATCTCATTAATCATAGGTCTAATGATAGGACTCAGTGTTGGCATCACCGGAGGATAAGGATTATTAATAACTGGACTAGGAACTGCGGTTGGATTGGCTGGTTTCCTTTTAGCACACAACAAATGAGCATCAAATCCACCACATTCTTTGCAGCTATAGAGCCACGAGTTAGACCCGGGTTTTTGGCATACACTGCAGCGGAAGCTAGCCACCGCAGCGGATCTTGATCTTGATCCGGATCCGTACCCGCCCGGAGACATCAAGGAAAACGTTAAAGAAAGCTGGTGATGAGGGTGAAACTGGTGTGTGACACGAGTAGGCATGTTGGCACAAACCGTGTGAAGATCTATTCCACAGTCTCCGCAGTGGTAAGAAAATCCGTCACCGTTTTCTCCGCATGCGTCACAGCGGAACTTCCCTTCTTGGTATTTGGGAGAAGAGATTAGAGACAGGAGATGGTTTTTGTCGAAAGGGTGTCTGATTTTTTGAGGTAGTTTGGAACATTTTAGGTGGATGTGGAAGTTGCATGGTTTACAAGTGTATGAAGGAAGGGTCATGAGTTTTAGCTTGCAAGCCACGCAAGAAGAAGAAGAGTTGTCTTGTGGATTGTGAGATGAGTAGAACAATGGATGTGGATGGCTGAAATGTCGAATTGAAGCTTCTGGTTCTGGCCTTCCCATTGATTTTGCTGCACAACTTGTTCAGAGAGTTTTTGGAAGGTAATAAATGTTATTGTAGTTTGGTCTGAACATAATCAAAGGCTTGGGGACTTGTTGTTAGTTATTTATTTTGTGGTAGTCGTTTTTCTACCGTGTGATGTTAATTCTCTAACTTTCAGTATGCAACTTTAAAGTCAACGGTTAGATTGTTTGATCAAGTCATTACCCACTTGGATTATACTGAAACCTTAAACTCTAGTGCTTTGTCACAACTTTTTTAACAATCACCCAAGTTGGAGATTTTAAATCAGATGTAAACGCTGTTAGTAGTAATATCTATTATATACCTGTTAATTTGTAACAGTTATCAAACGAAAATATAAGAGCTAATTATATCAAAGAAAACAATTATTTTATCTACATTGAAAAAGGGCTACATAATCATTTAATTTTATATGGCTAGTGGGAGTATCTAATGAATTGTTAAGCATCCAAAACCGCGCAGTTCTAATGTCAACTTTCTTCTGTATATTAAAATTACAACTAGGTGAATACAGATAATCAAAACAAACTCAGAATTATTTAGCCAAAAATGGAAATCTCAAGACCTCTTCATACATTGCTATTTATAGTAGTTAAAGGTTTCTTCCACGTAAATAACATAATCAAGAGTCCAACACAATGGCTTCAAAGAAACCGGTTAATCGTCCGTCGGTGAGGCACCCGAGTCACAACCATCCGCTACGCATCTTTAAATCCCAAGAAGGAGATGAGATCATCTGCTCTGGATGTGAGCTTGACCTGATAGGACAAGCCTTTAAATGTACAAAGAAAGACTGTGATTACTTCTTGCACAAGTCATGTTTCGACCTACCCGGTGAAACCAATCACAAGTCTCACTTAAACCACCCTTTGACCCTCCTTCATTCCCCGCCGTATGGTCACTCTTACACGTGCGACGCGTGTGGCCAGTATGGATCCGGATTCACTTACAACTGTTCAGAGTGCCAGTATGATGTACATGTCGGATGTGCCTTTATCCCCGAGACCGTGGAGCGCGATGATCACCACCACCCACTCACTCTAGTCTACAACACACCATGCAAAGGTCGTGAGGACGGCGCTATGTTCATTTGTGATGTTTGTCAAGAAGATATGTCAGAGAATCTTTGGGTTTATTATTGCAAAGAATGTGATTATGGGACACATGTGCATTCTTGCATGGTTTATGAAGATCATGAGCCAAAGAGAGGAGGAGAAGGAAGAGGAGGAGGAGTAGGAGGAGAGTCGAGCTCGGCGGCTGAAAGGATGAAGTCGTTGATGAAGGCTCAAGATGAGATGGCGGCGTTGCAGCTCGAGGCACGTATTAGGAAGAATACTAATGATGCTATACTTGAGTTATGGGATGAACCAAAGCGGAAATACTATTATTGGTGATTGAATCTATAAATGATCAATTTGATGCATTGATGAAGGGGCCCCTTGATGAAGCTTGTAATTGTTATTTCTACTGGAGTTACGTTTATTCGTGTGAATTGTTGCAATAACTTTTTAAAATGTTACTTTTAATGCAAAATAAAATGAAATAAGGTGATTGATCTTTGACCATATGAAGAAGGAAAGAATATGTTTTGTGTGATTTAACTTCAAGGGGTGAGATGTCTATCCAAGCATTTTCTATCGACGACCTTTTCGCAATGCTATAAAAAGTCAATGATAAGATTGCATGATCAAATTATGATCCACTAGAGTTTTTTTTTTTTTTTGAAAATTTTAAAAGTTTTCTTTTAAAAGGCAAATAAAATGTCATAACCGGTTTTGTTAGATTTTCTGTTTGTGTAGTGTTGCGTACATTTCATATTAGTTTATGTTGTCTTTGTTATCTATTCATGAATAACGAATGTTTCAATTCATCAGCATTAGATGTACTGATAAATCCTTAATTAGGCATCTTCAAGTAAAATTCGTGGTTCCGGCATTAGGGTTTTAAGCTTTGATTTTCATTAGATATAACCATCTAGTCACTCATGTTTATGGTTTTCCAAGTAAAATCGTAATTTCTAGTTTCTTTTCTGGAATTCATCGTCACTTATATTCTGATGACTTGGAGACAATATGCATTAGAGACCCAGCTTAGTTACTTGACTATGTCAACTCTTCTAAAACATACAAGATGGTTTTGAAACCATAAAGTTTAGAAAGCATGATGAGAAACAATCCTCATGTTGAGCTAAGCAATAACTTAGAAAGCATGATGAGAAACAATTCTATTGTATACATTCCAACTTAAAAATTCAATATTTGGAATCTTTAATTACAACTGGCTATGTAAGTAATTATATAATCACAATATGGCTAGTCCCACATGATGGATCGGGTACTAGATGAATAGTTCCACCTCTTGACTTTGACACCCTAATGAGAATTAGTCTCATGTTACATATATATATCGTATAATAATGATATACGGCTTGGTTAATAAGAAAAAAAAACAATCTCATAATTATAGAAATCAAAGTCGTCTCAATATTTGGTATTTATAGGTCCAAATAGATTCTCCCACAAGGCAACACAAAACAACAAAAAAACCTTGAAGACACATATGTTGGGGTCAAAATCGGTACGACGGAATCAATAGCCAAAATTCCCCGCAAACGCGTAAACGCAACAGTTTTATGAGCCTCGAGAATCATTTTATAAAACTCGAAGATCGTTTTATAAAACTCGAGAGATCGAGAATCATTTTATAAAACTCGAAGATCGTTTTATAAAGCTCGAAGATCGTTTTATAAAACTCGAGAGATCGTTTTATAAAACTCGAAGACCGTTTTATAAAACTCGAGAGATCGTTTTATAAAACTCGAAGACCGTTTTATAAAAACTCGAAGATCGTTTTATAAAACTCGAAGATCGCTTTATAAAACTCGAGAGATCGTTTTATAAAACTCGAAGACCGTTTTATAAAACTCGAAGGTCGTTTTATAAAACTCGAAGGTCGTTTTATAAAACTCGAGAGATCGTTTTATAAAACTCGAGAGATCGTTTTATAAAACTCGAGAGATCGTTTTATAAAACTCGAGAGATCGTTTTATAAAACTCGAAGATCGTTTTATAAAACTCAAGAGATCGTTTTATAAAACTCGAGAGATCGTTTTATAAAACTCGAAGATTGTTTTATAAAACTCAGGAGATCGTTTTATAAAACTCGAGAGATCGTTTTATAAAACTCGAAGATTGTTTTATAAAACTCGAGAGATCGTTTTATAAAACTCGAGAGATCGTTTTATAAAACTCGAGAGATCGTTTTATAAAACTCGAAG